TATATATATATATATATATATTTATACTTTTTAAGCAAAAAGAAGAGTCTTTTTTTTTTTTCTCTTCCCTTCTACACATCCCCCCATACCCTCCCCAATTCCCTTTCCCCTTTTAATAAAAAAAACCTAATCACAAAAGGAAGCAAAAAAGAAAAAAAAAAAAAAAAGCGTTGATAATAATAAAGACCCATAGAAACCCCCCAAAAAAACTCCCGTTTTTATTTTTTGTTTATTCTCTGAAATATATCCGTACTGAACCCTTCAGATCCTTTTCTTTTTCTTCTCTTTCCACTACTTATTTTGTCATTTTTTGATACTGATAAACTTCTACTTTCATCACTATTTCTTTTTTTTTGTTTCCTACTTTTTCCTCTATTTATTTGCTTCCGTTCTTAAACTGGACTTCTCATTCTTTTCTCCCTCCGCTTCTGAGTATAGATAAGGGAGATCATCCTCACAAAAAAAAAAAAGAAAAACAATTTCTATCGACCATACAAGACCACATACGTAAAGTAACAACAATGAAACACTCCAGAGAGATATTATATAAATAAATAAATAAATATATCTATATATATGTAATATATAGATATATAGAGAGAGAAATATATATATAGATATATATAGTCCCTCTCTCTCTCTCTCTCTGTTTTGCGTGTATTTATCCGAAATGAAATTGTGATCTCATGTGGATCTTGTCTTACGGCGTTAAGCACACAAAAAGTTAAAAAGTTGGAAATCATCTGAACAAAGAAAAACCAGTAATTGGCAAACTTAGAAAGAATGAAAAAAAAAAAAAAAGAAATAGAAAAACAAAAACAAAAACTGACTGAACGTTGTTGGGTAAACAAAAGAAAAAAAAAAAGAAGTCATACACATATATTCATAATTTTTTTTTTCCTTTTATAGCAGAAAGTAAAAGAAAAATACATAATAATAAATGAAGGGTCCCTATATGCAGGATAATCACTTGTGGAATATTTTCACTGTTCAATTCCCTATATATATATATATATATATATAT